GGGGAGGGTGTGTGACGAATACGGGTCAGGATTTAGTGGGATCAGAGATGGTGCCGTTTCTGCCTATGGCTGCGTAGGAGGAATTAAACACCAGCCAGGTCGCGGTTTTTGAATTAGAGGTTTGTCGGGAGACTCTACTGCGGTGCAGCGGAAGCTGTAATTATAACGAGTGGTGAAGGGGCGGTATCTGCTCCTGGCTCAAATGTAACGGGGGAGTCGGAAAGCTCTGTCTCAAGAGTCTGCTGTGCTGCAGGCCTGAGAAATGCGTATACGGTTGGCTCCGAAGCTCCTTACCCGGTCTTCTCGGAGAGCTTTTCACAGATAGTGAACGGCGCTCGTTTTCATTGTGCCACTGAGGAAACTGAGGCAGGGGGACGGGAGGGGACTCGGCCCGTGTGCCCCAGCAGGTCTGCCCTCTTCTGTCCCTGAAACGTGCTGGAAGGGAGCAAAATCAGTTTGGTGTCACAATCGTTCGGTTTCCCAGCCCTTGAAAATGTCTTTTTTTCCCCCAGAAGAATTGTTGCATGCCCTGAAACCCACCGTCCCTAGCTCGTATGGCGGGGGGGGGGTGTTGGTGACTCTCTTGCGGGGCGTGTTTGCTGGGAGGAAGGTAACAGAGCTTCATCCCCTGCTCTGGCCGCGTCTGCGTTTCAGGCAAAGCAGAAGGTCGACGCGTATCACCTGCAGCTCCAGAACTTGCTCTACGAGGTGATGCACCTGCAGAAAGAGATCACCAAATGCCTGGAGTTCAAGTGAGTTTGGCCGGGGAGGAGAGGGACTGACGGCGTGTCCGAGGTGGGGTGGAGGCCTCGAACGTTTGGAATCTTTTGACACGTCGCCTCAGCCCGCTGTGGGAGGAGAGCGGGTGCCCCAGATGCCACCACGCGGGAGAGACGGGGTGTCCCAGAGCTCTTCTGCTGGGACACGGGGGAAGAGGCTCGCGTAGGGAGGAGGGAAGAAGGCATCTATTTTGATAGATGGACAGCGGAGGAGAAAAGAGGTAAATGTCAAAGACGTGGCCACGCTGGTCTCCTCAAGGACTCTCTGGCCTCCGTATATCGGGAGTTTTCTTCCGAAAGCCGAGCGTTCCGTCGTGCCCGTCGCACAGGCAGCGCTCTGAGCTGCTGCCGGGAGGGCTGTGTTTAGACTGACGCCTTCAAACAGTGCTTTGGTTAACGGTGCAGGGAAGGTGTCTCCGTGAAAGGAGGGACCCTGTTCAGACCTTTCTCTCCTCTGCTGAGCTCTGCTGTGGTTCGGCTCGCTGATGCTGCGGTGTTTCACGTAGCAGAGCGAAGCTGGGGCACGGGGCGTTGGCACTGCCCGCTCTCCTGTGAGGCACGGTCGAGTTTGGCCCTGCTGGGGCATTTCCCACCCTTCCCCGATCTGATCCGTCCGTCCTTGCAGGTCAAAACATGAGGAAATCGAACTGGTGAGCCTGGAGGAGTTTTACAAAGAGGCCCCCCCCGAAATCAGCCGGCCTGCCATCACCCTGTCTGAGCCCCACCAGCAGACCCTGGCCCGCCTGGACTGGGAGCTGGAGCAGCGCAAGAGGTGGGTCAGGCGTCTCGGAGCTGGAGCAGCGCAAGAGGTGGGTCAGCGGCGTCTCGGTTCGGTGTCAGCCTGCCGCGCTCTCGACAGACCCCCGGCGTGAGCTGCGCAGCTACTGGGCGAAGCAAACGTGGGTGATTAAAGGTTTTAACGTCCTCTTGAAATGGTCGGCGTAGAACAAGTGACAGGTTTATTGCGTAACTGAGCCCTCGGCGTGGAGGGTCGCTCTTTGTGTAGAGCTGGGCTTGGTGGGATCCTTGTTTCGTCGATCGGGGAGTTTTCTTTCACCTGCCTGATGAAAGAGAGCCCCGGGGGATCCTGGGGAGCAGAGCAACCTCCAAACCAGCGCGAGAGGGGCCCCGAGCCAGCTGCAGCCACTGCGCAAGAGGGGCTGCCTGGCTGGGACCGCACCTTGTGCTCTAGGTGATGACAGCAAAGGCATCTTGGCTCTCCTGATAAGCCCACGTGTCATCTCACCAAGGCAGCGAACATCGACGCTGGCTCTTGGGGATCAAGGGAAGAAAATGAATTTTATAGTTTGATGTTTCTCCGGCGTCTGCTTGGAGGCTCTTGCGGCAGGGAACGGGGACGCCGCCCGCCGTGGGGGTGATACTGAAGGGCGGGTGGTTACGCCCTTCCATCCGTAACCCGGTTCTGCAAGACGTGCCACGTAGGGCGAAGGGATCCCTGTTTTGTCTGCCGTGCTGCGGTGCGAGGAGCAAAATTAAAGCCAGCCTGGCTTGGTGGCACGCCCGGGTGCTGCTGCCCTTCCCGCCTGCCTGTGCTCCTAACGCTTGCCACGGTGGGGAGCTGCCTGCGCGGCGCTCATCTTGGCTGAGCTGCGACGGGCGCTGTTGTCCTGGTGCTGGCAGCCACCTCCTCGGCGCAGGCTCTAACCCCCGAGGTCCCTCAGCTGGTGCAGGCAGGCCAGGTGGCTGAGCTGCTCCGTCAACTCTTGCCCCGTCTGATAAGCAAACATGACACGAGATTCCTGTGTTTTGATAACGGCCAGCGGCTTTTTCAGCCGGGCAGCAGCTGAGACCAGCCTTCTGGAAAGATGGGTCCGAACCTGCCGCACGAGCAGGGCGGCTCAGCAGAGCAGACTGGCGAGAGGTGCTGCAGGTGGGTGCTGCGTGGCTCTAACGCCTCAGGCTTTGCCTCTCCCAGACCCTTCACGGCAAACCTGGCTTCTTTTGCCTGCTGGAAGGCACCCGTTGGCGCTGCAGCCGAGATCCTCCCCGGATGGCTCTGCCTGCGGCGCACGCTTGCAGAGGAGCGTTCAACCTGGAGATCTCTTGAGGATTCTCCTTAAAAATGAGTGTTCAGTGCAAACTCTGTAGAGGGCAAAGACGAGCTGAACTGACCCCGTCCCGCGGTCGCGCGTTGAATTGCTGAGAAGCCTTGCAATTCCCAGTCCTCGCCCCACGGTATCTAGGGAACGCCGCTGTTCACCTCTCGCCACCGCTGTGGTGGGAAATAGCCTCTTGAGCTGCCTCAGGAGCAGATGCCGGTCGTGCTTTGGGCGCTTTCTGATGCTGTTGGGGTTGTTAGCGTCCATCCGTAACCGTCACGTTGTGGAGTGCTGGGTTTGTCTCGGACTCTATTCCAAAAGGTGACTCTTGCGTGGTGTTAGAGAGATCTTTGCCGCTCTCACTAGCTCGGGGAGTTCAGTAGAGGTGTCTGAAAGCTGGACTTCAAAACTGCCTTGTGTCGGAGCCTGTTGGGGTGTGTTGACCCAACGCAAATATGGTTTTGCTTGGAAACAGAAGCGTTTCAGTTCGGCAATGTCAGGTCTGTTGTTCCCCCTCAGAGAGGGGGGGGGGATCCTCTGCGCTGCGGGTGCTCTCGTCCGGTGGGGAGCAGGGTCCTGAGAGTGCCTGAGCCCCCCAGACCGCCGTCCCCCCTGCCATGGTGGTGGCTTGTCCTGGGCGGCACACCTCCATACCCAACTTTCCCTGCTGCTGCTTTCTGCTGGGCAAGAGGTTGCAGTCAACAGCGATAAGGAGATTTAACGTGTGGTCCCTAAACACGAGTGTATCCAGGGCTTGGAGGGTCGCGGTGAACTTGCGTTTTCCTGGGCTCGCTACCCAGTTACAGAGGAGCATTTGGTAGCGTTACTAAACCTCGACTTTCACGAGTTTAACTAAGGAGTTGATGTGACATGAAGTGACTCTGGTGATACCAAGTGGAAAAGCCTCTTCAGGAGCTCGGCGGGGTCGGCAGGGCTCCGTCGGCACGGCTGCTGGCAGCAGAGGCTGGCGTGGGAGCGGGTCCGCTGAGGGAAGATCTGCTTGCTGTCCCTTCTCGGAGCGCAGCCCAGGGCTGAGCTTCCACTTTCTCTCCCTGTTTGTTTTCCAGCTCTAATCGGTTCCTTTCTGCCTCCGCTTGCCCTTGGCGTTGAGAGCTCTTTGTCACCGTGTCTGAGCTCTCCTGGTTCCTGCAGTGACTTCTGTCAGGTCAGGAGAGCTGGGGCCCGTGACCGGGCAGGCCCCAGCAGGCTTTGTAGCTGTGACGTGTGGTGGTAACCGAATTCCCACCCCTAGGCTGGCGGAGAAGTACAGGGAGTGCCTGACCAGCAAGGAGAAGATCCTGAAGGAGATTGAGGTGAAGAAGGAGTACCTGAGCAGCCTCCAGCCTCGACTCAACAGCATCATGCAGGTACAACAGCATCTCTGCAGGAAGGGGAGAAGGCCTTCGGGGCCGAGCTGAGGTCGCGCCCCGAGGGCTGTGTTAGAGAGGTGCAGCGCCTGGGCTGATTCTGCTTTGGAGATGTTTCGCTCCCAGCCAGCGTGGACGAGGGGTAGATCTGCCTCGTGCCGAGACTCCTCTGGAGTCTCCTTGTTTATGCGGCAATTCCTGCAGAACTGCGGATGGAGGAGTCGTTAAATGGGCCTTTCCCTGGAGAGCGACACGCAGCTCCAGCCCTTTGTGATTGCCTTGGGAGGGAAGAACAGGAGAAGGAACTGGGTTATTTTCAGATCCAAAAGTTTTCCAGCGAAGGAGAGCTGCCAGCCCTCCCCTGGGGCCTCGCCGTGCCCGTGGCTGTGTTTAACCCTGCACCACGGCTGCTGTGCTGGTTTCCAGTCTCCCACTTGCCAGCTTGGGGTGAAGGAGGGGGTGAGGAGGGCGAACTGTTCTGTTCCCAGTGACGAAGGTTAGCCCTCTTGTTCCCCCAGGCCTCCCTGCCTGTCCAGGAGTATCTCTTCATGCCTTTCGACCAGGCGCACAAACAGTACGAGACAGCCCGACACCTCCCGCCGCCCCTCTACGTCCTCTTCGTTCAAGCCAGTGCCTACGGTCAGGCCTGCGGTGAGCACCGAGGGGGGAGCACACCGTGCCCGTGGCTGTGTTTGCCCCTGCACCACGGCTGCTGTGCTGGTTTCCAGTCTCCCACTTGCCAGCTTGGGGTGAAGGAGGGGGTGAGGAGGGCGAACTGTTCTGTTCCCAGTGACGAAGGTTAGCCCTCTTGTTCCCCCAGGCCTCCCTGCCTGTCCAGGAGTATCTCTTCATGCCTTTCGACCAGGCGCACAAACAGTACGAGACAGCCCGACACCTCCCGCCGCCCCTCTACGTCCTCTTCGTTCAAGCCAGTGCCTACGGTCAGGCCTGCGGTGAGCACCGAGGGGGGAGCACAGTCCTCAGCGACACCGCGAGGGGCTGTCACCAGCCGGGGCTGGGGGGCAACGCTCCCCCCGCGGACCAGATTTCACTCCTGCTTGCAGAAAGCGCTGCTTTGGGGACACTTTGGGGAGGTCCTTTTTGTCCCATCGGCTCTGCTGCCGGATTCTGCTGAGCCCAGAGCAGCGGGGTGGCCCCGGGGCCGGCGCAATGAGGCAGCAGCATTTGAAACCTTGTTTGCTCAGCTCCCTCGCTGGAAGAACTGCTTGGGAAGCTCGCTTCCCGCCTCTGCCCCCCCTGCTTCTCAAGGTCGGCAGGGACGTCCCTGCAGCCTGCGAGCTGGCTCGATGCTGGACACGGCCTCCCGAGAGCTGTCACCCCGTGGGGTGGGTGTTACGTTGTGCCACCCGTGGGTGGCGGTGACTCCAGAGCAGGCGGTACCTCCGCCTGGCCTCACAGAGGCCCTTCCCGCAGCTCACCTGAAAGCCTTCATCCCCTTAGGCTGCTTTGCCTTTCGAGGGGCTTTCTGAAGCCTCCCTGAGTCGGGAGGGATTTCCCAGCAGGGCTCAGGATCCCCCTAGGCTGCTCGCATCTCCTGTGCGGAGAGGGCTGTAGTATAGCCTGAGAACAGGTGGGATTGCAGCTCTCACGCTGCTCTGGGAGTGGGGCAGGCGGCAGAGGAGCGTGGAAGGACCACGCTGTGGCACTTGGCCACACCAGGTCCCTGCTAAGGAGCACCTGCAGCCCTGATGACTCAGCTCCTCGCTCCCTGCTTGTGCCAGCCAGACCCCAACCCCTCTTGGCTCTTGATAAAGATTTGGCCTTTAGGGTTTCCAGGGACAGTCCCTCAAAACCCAGCGTTTCCCCTCCTCTGACCCCATCCTACCCAGGAGATCCAGCCCTGCGGTGGCCCCACGGAGCCCTCTGGACAATTGCCTCTTCCCACTGACCCTTCGTTTGAGCTTCCTCGGCCACGGAGCTTTCCGGGGCAGGGCTGCTTCTAACTGCCTTCCCCATACAGAAGTGGGGTTCGTAGCTTAGTTTTCATGTCTCCTCTGTAGATAAGAAGCTCGTGGTGGCCATTGAAGGGAGCGTAGAGGAAGCCAAAGCCCTGTACAAGCCGCCTGAGGACTCGCAGGGTGAGTTGGGGTGGTGTTGCTGCAGGCAGGCTGCCTGATGCTCTTTGCTGCAGGCAGAGGAGTCGGGTGGAGAAGCAGGTGGGTTCTGGGGTGGATGCTGGAACGGCGCAGTGCCTGGCGTCTGCGCTGCTGGCCAAAGTCCCTGGCAGCTGATCCCCTCTGTCCCCAGCTCCTCCTTCCTGAGAGATGTTCGCAGCCCCTCATCTGTTGGAGTGACCCCTGGTACGGGGAACGTGTTCCTGTGTGTCTGCATCCTGCTAGGGCCCTGCTTTTCGGGGGGGACGGCGATGTCTGGGGGAGCTGTGGTCTTGGAGAAAGGGCTGGAAGTCCCGCTGGCTGTGGGAGAACTGCTGAGCCCCGGGCGGTCCCCACTTACACCCCTCTCTTTGCGCAGATGATGAAAGCGATTCTGACGCGGAGGAGGAGCAGACCACGGTAAGGGATAGCGCTGTCTCCTCCTGGGTCCTCTCCCAACACCGTATCGCGTGGGCAAATCGATCTGCGCCTGCTCACTGGGGAGGTGCTGGGGGAGCTGGACCTGAGGGGGGCTGTGAACTGGTCCCTACGCGCTGCGAGAGTGTGTGTTAGGTGCACAGACATTAAATCCGGCCATTTCTTGGGAGGAGAGAGCTGCCATATCCAGTTTCTCTCCCGAATGCAGGAGAGCCAGGGTACAAATCTGCCCGGCTCACGTCCCACCACGCTTGCATCCCATCCGGCAGTGGCGGCTGCCTTGCAGCTCTCCGCCTGGATCTGTTCCACTTTGTATAAATAGCCTCGGGCTGGGGAGGCTGGCTGGAGGCTGGCGTCCGGCAGGGAGGGATGCGTGTCCGTCCCCTGCCGTCTGCCAAAAGCGTTGAGCTTGAACTCTGCACCGGGGGTTGTTCCGTGCTCCCTCGGGGCGGCGTCTAGGTCCTACAGGTTTTGTACCTTCTGGATGCTGGGGAGAGGCCGTAGGCGCTGGCTGCCCCCAGCGTGGAAGCCCACGGCAGGTCTGTGCCGCTGCTCCCCACCGCCCAGCAACCGCGCCTGGTGTGTCGGGCTGTTGCTGCGGGGAAGGGTAAAGGGAAGGGCCTCAGCTGTGCCGCCGCTCCCCACCGCCCAGCAGCCGCGCCTGGTGTGTCGGGCTGTTGCTGCGGGGAAGGGTAAAGGGAAGGGCCTCAGCTTCTGCCCCTCGAGGCGGGGGAAGCTTTTGGGGCCAGCAGGTCCTTGGCCCCGTCTCACAGGGGTGGGGGTGCTCCTGGGAGCTGAAGGAACGACAGGAACCGGAGTTGCTTTGTCCTCGCCCTGCAGCAGGGCAAGGGTTTCCTCCTCCCCTCCCTCCCCAGGGCTGCTCCGTGGCCACTGCACTGGGGGATTGGGGAACTAGACTAGAAGGAAGGAGCAGTGGGAGAGGAGGGGGGGGGCCGCGGGTGGCCGAGAAGCGGGAGGAGAAGGGTCTGACAGCTCTGTTTCGCCCTCCCCAGAAGCGGCGCAGGCCTACCCTGGGCGTGCAGCTGGATGACAAGCGCAAGGAGATGCTCAAGCGGCACCCCTTGTCCGTCACCGTCGACCTGAAGTGCAAAGGTAAGCGGGTACTGGTGGCCCTTGGCAGAGCGCGGACAAGAGTGTGTGACAGCGGGTCAGGGAGCAACCCGGCAGCAGCTTGGGATCCTTGGGGAGAGCTCGGGGTGCGGAGAGCCTTTCCTGCCCTCAGCCCAGCTGCCCTGGCAGGGATGAGCGTGGCCTTCCGGGGGAGACTGAACAAGGTGGTTTGTCAGCTCTGTCTCCTGGAGCTCCTCTCGCCCACGCAGGCGGGGTGACCTTGCTCTGAAGCTTTCGCCCTCTACTTGGGAGCTTTCCTCTTTTATCTGGCAGATACAGCCTGGCAAATGCTGGTGGGACGGTGTTAGAGGTTACAGTGCGTCAGTTGCCAGTTACTCCCCATGTTGCCTCTCTGCCCCATTTGCTGTTGTCCTAGCAGAGGGGCATGTACATCCCCCTCTGCAGAATGCTCCGAGCTAGAGCAGACAGCAACGTTGCCCCTTCTCTGTTGGCGCAGATGAGAACGTGCTTCACCTGACCTTCTACTACCTGATGAACCTCAACGTCATGACGGTGAAAGCCAAGGTGACCACTGCCGTTGAGATGACGACCGCCATCAGTGCCGGGTAAGGAGAGCCCCGGGGACACTGAGCCCAGAGCCCACCGGGCAGCGACCCCTCTGCTTGCCACGAACGCGCTGCCCTGGTGTCCTGCCCTGCTCTGTTCAGAGTTACCTGTTGGCAGGGCGATGTAGTGCCAAGAGCAGCATGTGGTGGCAACGTCCCTCTGCTGAGCCGTAGCTCCCGCGCCCGGTGGGCCAGGGGCACTCCATGCCCGGTTGCCTGCTCCCAGCGGGTGAGGTTTTAACCTCGGTCCCTCACCTTGCCTCACCTGCGGCACCTTAAGGGCCTTTGTGCAGAGCTGCAGTTTCGAAGTGCTGTCTTGGCTTGTCCTTTGGTGGGCAAAGGAGTCGCCAAAGAGCAGAGCTCCGTCTCTGCCTCTGGGGAGGGCTTTCACCTTGTGCGTCCTCTGCCCTGCGGTATCCTCCCCCTTAGCTCCAGGGCCTTGCCAGGAGCCCTGCCAGGCTGCCACAGCCCAGGCAGCAGCATCCTCTTCTCCCTCTGTCACGACAAGCCAGGGGCAGGGAGGTCGGGAACCTCCTAGGGGAGCGGTGCCAGACCTGCCAGGAGCTGGGGGAGAACCTCTCCTGCTTGTCGTATTCAATCACCTTCTTGCAGCCAAACCGCTTTCCTCCCGCCTGCAGCCTGTGCCTGGCAGCTCCCTTCACCTGCTTGCTCTGCAGGTCACCTTGTCTTGAGCGCCGGAGATGCGGCTGCCTCTCCCTGGGCTCCCCAAAGACCGCTGGAGCCTGATTTGTGTGAGGAATAGCTGAAATGGCAGGTGTGGGAGCCTGCCCAGGGAGCTCCGATAAGCTGCCAGCTCTCCGGTGGCTCTCCCGGGGCCAGGAGGAGGTGCCTGAGGAAGAGGGAGGCGGGAGAGGCTGGTCTGGGCTTACCTGGAAGCAGGTGCTGCCTCCCAGCCTGTCCCATATGAGGCCTCCCAATCCTCTTGGGGTTCTTTTTTCCCCATAGGTACACAAAACCCTCCGTGACAGCAGCTAGAGTCTCTCCGCAGGGTTCCCGTGCAGGGTGCTCCCTCCCTCGCAGCTGCCCTTGGCTGTTATTACCCCAAACCAGTGAGGCTGTGGCTTGAGCCAAACCCCAAATCCTACAGCCCTTTGAGCTTGGTCAGGCTTGTGAGTACAGTCAGACGTGAAGAATTTTATTTCATTAAGCAGAATTCCTCTGCTTAAGCTTGTTGGGTGGCAAACAGCCATCAGGCCGTGCCCTGCCTGTGCAGGCGATGTTTCCTCCGTACGCATCAGCAGGTTTTGGAGTTAATGTACTGGAGTGAGCAGCTTCCTGGGAAACCGGGGAGCTGGAGCCCTGTGATTTCTGTCTTCTTCACAGCCCGGGAGGAGACAGATCTCCTTTCGGAGTGGAATTAGGGGAAAGCCATTCTGGTCTCGAAACCCGGCTCGTGGAGCTCGTAATCCCCTTCTCTGGGCTCGGAGCCTGTTAGTGGCCGCCCCAGAGAGCCGTGGAGGCCAGGCTGCTGCTGATTAATCTCTTCCCTCCTCCTGCCAGTGACCTGCTCTCCCCAGACTCCCTCCTCAACTGCCTCTACCCGGGAGACCACGGGAGGAAAACGCCCAACCCGGCCAACCAGTTCCAGTTCGATAAAGTGGGGTGAGTGGGGCGCTGCCCCGCACAGCTGGGGGCAGCTTCGCCCAGGCGGTTGACACGAGTGCCCCGCTCCCGGCACGGCACGTCCCTCCCCAGCTTGACAGGGAGGGCTCGGTGGCCGGGAAGCCGGTGGCCTGCCAGTCGGCGTCGGGTGGGCTCACCGGGGCGCGGCTTGGGGTGCAGGCGAAAGAAGCACCTCCTCCCTCCGGCTGGCTCGCAGGCCGGGCGGTGAGGGGACGGGGCGGGGGGAGGGAATGCTTTGGGGTGGCGTAACCCTTCCTCGTCGTCCACCACAGCATCCTGACCTTGAGCGACTACGTGACAGAGCTGGGGCACCCCTACGTGTGGGTGCAGAAGCTGGGCGGCCTGCATTTCCCCAAGGATCAGCCTCAGGCACGTCACACCCCCTCCCCTCTCCACCAGAACGTCGAGCTGGGGTTTGGGGAGGTTTTGGGGACAGTTTGTCGTGTCCTGTCCCATCCCCCCAGACCCCAGAGCTCCTGCTGGCACCAGCCTCTCCCAAACCACGGTGCGCCATTGGCCGGGACAGGCTCAGCTGGGATGAATCTGTGCAGCGGGGCCACGCCAACGTATTTTATCTCCCGCGTGTGATAGTCTAAGCCCTGTTAGGGGCACTGAGCAGTGACTGGAGCGTGTTCCTGTCCCCGTGGCTGGGTGGGGTGGCTCCTGGGCCGTGGGGTTCCCCAGTGGGGGCCCGCAGGCTGGCGTGATGGTGACGGCCCCTCCTGCCCACAGCACACGGTCACTGCGGACAACTCGTTGAGCGCCAGCCACATGGAGCTGACTGTGAAGCTGCTGCGGACGAGGCTGCAGTCCCGCCTGGCTCTCCACAAGCAGTTTGCGTCGCTTGGTGGGTGCCTGGCTCCCCGCCCTGTGCCTGGGGACGGGGACGGGGGTGCGGTAGCAGGGTCCTCTTGCAGAGGAGGGCTGACTGATGTCACTTTTAACGGTGCTACAGGTCTGCAGTGCCGCCCCTCGGCGTTCCCAGTCCTTCCCTCTGTCCTCGGTGGTAGCGGGGCTGCGAGGGCTGCCCTCTTTTGGTTGGGAGAGGAAGGCCGTGCCCCCTCTCAATTCCAAGGTGGTAGGTGGTAGCGGGGCTGCGAGGTCTTTTGGGTTGGGAGAGGAAGGCCGTGCCCCCTCTCGATGCCCAGCACCCCTTTGGGACTGGCCATCCCTGCGCTGGGAATCGATTCGGGCCGTGGTGGGAGGTGAACCGCCCACCCAGGCGTGTCGTGCGCCCGTCGAGCAGGCCAGGCGTGCGCTGCCAAGGCTGCGAGCTCCAGTGGGATGGCAGCCGAGGCCTCCGCTGCTCCTCTCTGGGCACCTGAGGAAGGTGTCGGAAGCGTAACAACGTCCCCGGGTCCCGGTTTTGGAGCATCCCCACCTGCAGGACAGTGACAGAGCTCTGTCCCCAGCCCTCCCCTGCTCAAGTGGCCTTGTCCTTGGTTTCAGAGCACGGCGTCGTGCCGGTCTCCAGCGAGTGCCAGCATCTCTTCCCTACCAAGATCGTCTCGCGCCTGGTGAAGTGGGTTGCCATTCCCTATGAAGATTACGCGGTAGGTGCCGAGTGCGAGGCCGTATCCCTTCCAGCTCCCACGCGGCGCTGGCAGCTGCTCACTCCTCTTGTCTCTCCTCACAGGAGCTGCCCTACACTAAAGACGTGATAGAGGCCGGCTTGGCTGAGGACACTCACCTCTACTACATGGCCCTGATAGAAAGAGGAACAGGTAGGCGCATTTCCTTCCCCTGGCAGGTGCTAATTCCCACACCGGCCACCCTCAGGGCAGCTTCTGGGGGGTCTTCATGGGAAATCCCTCCGGTTGGAGGCCCCGTGGGGCTGCGGGTGACGTTTCTTCCCTGCCCTGCTCAGCCAAGCTCCAGGCCGCCGTGGTCCTGAACCCCGGTTACTCCACGCTGTCGCCCGTCTTCAGCCTGTGCCTGAACTGGAAAGGAGAGCGAACCAGCAGCAACGACGACAACATTCGGGTAACCCAGGGTGGTGGGAGAGGAGGCTGGAGAAATGCTGCCTTTTGGGGGGGTGTTCCCAGCGGTTCCGTGTCCGTAAGAAGCGAGCTGGTGGGTAGGCGGCTCAGGGCGGGCCCGCGAAACCTGCCGTTCCGTGTCCGTAAGAAGCGAGCTGGTGGGGTGAGCTCGTGGGCAGGCGGCTCGGGGCGGGCCCGCGAAACCTGCCAGATGCAGCCGTGGGTCCTGGGGAGGGCAGAGCAGAGACCCAAGCCTGCGCCGTACTGATCCCTCTGCCTCTGCCAGGCCATGGAGAGCGAGGTCAACGTGAACTACAAGGAGCTGTGGGGGCCCAAACCGGGCTACCAGCTCCTCACCAACCAGCTGCAGCGCCTGTGCATGGTGCTGGACGTCTACCTGGAGACGGAGCCCCACGACACCAGCGTGGAGGGGCCCAAGGAGTTTCCCCAGGAGAAGATGTGCCTGCGCCTTGTCAGGTGAGAGCCTGGCGTCACGGGGGACCCCGGGGCAGTGAGGAGCCGGGTGGGCGAGGGTGCTGACAGGGACCCCGGTGGCACTGCCGTCCCCTGGAGCACAGGCTTTTGCCTGACCTGGTGCCAGCCTTGAAGCCTCTCCCTTTAGCTGCCTGTGGGGATCACAGCTGGGCAGTACCCCGGGACCAGGCCCTTTCTGTGGGTGCCGTGGGCTTCCTGCCCCCCGCGGGTCAGCCTCTCCCTCTTTCTCCTCTTCCAGGGGGCCCATGCGCCTGAAGCCCTTCAAGTTCAACTACCCTCAGGGGTTCTTCAGCCATCGCTGAGCTCCCCCCCCGGGCCGTTGCTCTGGGATGGGCCTGGTCCCGTCTGCAGGGTGGAGCAACCCCGTCCCACCAATTTCAGTTTCTTTTCCAAGGTTTTGGGTTTCGTTGGAAGGTTTTGTAGCCAGAGGGATTAAACGCTGAACTGAAGGAAAAGCGTGTGCGTGCCCCGTGTGTGCGGAGGGCTGGGGGGGGAACGGGACCCGTGGGGGCTGCAGCAAGCCCTGTCCCGTGTCTCTGGGCTCTGGCAGGCGTCTTGGTGCTGGCACGTC